TATTAGTGAGAATTAAACTCAATACTTTCCATATATTATCCAAATACTCTATCCAAATGAATTATATAACTTATTTAATTATTACACTCATTCCAAAAATTATAATTTAACTAAAGTCAACACTTTCATTATTTAACTTAACACTGTCATTATTCTACTAAATTAAAAGTTTGTAGGATCTTACACATAATTACTAAGACACTTAACACCATCATTTTTAATTTAACACTATTAATATCTTTAATATATAATTATTCATATATTAGATCAATAGCGAAGGATGTAACTTTTAACCTTTCAGATTAATTTTGTTAATAAACGTAAAAATATCATAGTGAAATTTTTATACATCAAAGATTGGAACTAACATTGAAGAGTTTATATATTTTAAAAAAAAAAGACTGTATCCCTAAATATTTACAAACAATTCCAGAAATAGATTTATGAACAAAACACCTTTATATTTATTTCACTATACATAATACATTTTGAATGTAAAATTGCATCAGAGTCTGTTTTCTTTTTCTTCTGTTACATGGGCCAATGCTAAAAACTCGGTTACTACTTTTTATGTTCATTTCATACCATACACGTCTTAGTCTAATTATCTTTTCTTTTTATTTCTTTTATAAAAACTTTCACTTGAATTGTTTTAATTCAGCATCATCAAAGTCATCCTGATTGTGCGAAGGGATTTTTGGGTTTTTTTTATATCAGGAAACATGTATCGTATATGTGAATTTAGACGTCTTTTCGCATTATATAGATTATTCGTAACTATATTTATGTCTTTTTCTTTTATATATATATATATATATATATAGATATATAGATAGATAGATAGATAATTTGTGTGACTCTAATCATATTTAACTCTAGCAATTCCTGCTTTGAACTCTCTTTCTTGAACATTAATGTGTATCCAATTAGAAAAATTAGAGCTTAATATTCCACATGAATTTAGCTAAGAAGAAACTTCCTCCCTCACAATTCCTCATATGTTTAATCACCTGCTTCGAGAATGTCAAAAAAGAATAAAATATTAAAAATAATTCAATAATTCATTTAATCACTTACCTAAAAGAAAAGTATTAAAATAATAAATATTTATGAATAATATGATAATAATCTAAAAGGGATAGTAATCAATTTGTAAAATAAAATTTGCAATTATTGATATATTAATGTAAGATTGTTTTTAGAATGTTGTAGGAAATCATTATTGGCTTAGGCTTGTGATTATGCAAAGAACATCAACCTGATAGCCAACTTCGATAAACCTATTCCGAAAATTAAAGTCTAGAAAAATGAAATCAACTCACAAGTATTATAAATATTATTTTAATCTTCATTATGTAGGAAATCAGGAGTTTACCTGGTAGATGACACTGCTTAAACGTACAGGAAAAGAGCAGATCTGGAAAAATAAAATAAAAAATTAAATATCTTGCTGCGTATATGTATATATATCATACATGTTCCATCTTAACTTTACTATTTATATAAATATATATAAAGAAGGAGGAAATCCGAAAGAAAATGCGTATAGGATCACAACACAACACAAGACATGCATGCTAATTTGGTCTCGAATTTGGTACAGTTGGTAGATATAACCATCAAATTGAATCCGTTCAATAAAAATTAGACAACTCATTCACAGTTGGATTTTTTATATATATAAACGTGGTGTAGAAATGAAATACTTATAATCCACTTTATTAATTGTTAAATTTGTATTAAAATATATTATATTTATTCTTATCAGGAAGATGTCTTCTCACTCAAGGTGGAAACTGAAGTTTTTTAGAATATGAGCTTGAATTTTTAAGTTATAGACATCAAGTTGGTGATGAACATTAAGAAGTTTACCTAGTAGTGTATATGAATATTAAGTAAATACTCTTAAAGCATCATTATATATTATAAGCTTTTTCATTCCTAAGCCAAAACTCAGTAATCAAATAGTATAATCACTCATATAAGTAGTTGAATAATACTGTATATATATACATATATCTTTCATACTAATATTTCGTTGTTAGTATATGAATAAAAAATCATTGATAGCTATTACTTATATATTCAAGATTTTGAACATATCTTAATTACCTATATTTAGCTATAATTACATTTCTAAATATCTTGAACTTGGTTTATCTTGAAAATGTGTACTATGAGATAAATTGTGTAAAGAATGGAAAGCCAATGTGACACCAAGTCTTGTTCAGCTGATAATTTAATGAGTGCAAACTACACCAAATCTAGACCCTGAAACCATGACCTGCACTAACTTCCTTCTCAACGATAAATTTCTCTTTTTGAAACTTAATTATTGTTTTTTCTGCATTAACTTCAACTATACAGTGCCATGAAACTGGTAAACTACCAATGAAATTAAAATAATCTCCAAATAAGTGAAAACTTTAAAGAATTAATTTCCTAGTGGACTCGGATAAATCCAAAGTATAAGAGAAAGAGAGAGAGACAGAGAATCTTTATGTTTTTATTAAAAATAACAGAAAACAGTAAGAGATTAATAATGTCTCTAACTCAACCTAAATAAAACCCACTATTTCATATTGTATGAGAAATTTATGATTTGAATGAATTTTGACATGAGACATATTAAAGTGTTAAAATTGATTAGAAAAAGAATTATTAAGTGTGTAGGTGTGATGTAAAAATTAGCAGAAGCATGATCGAAGAAACTGTATGATTTCAGGGATAACTAGTGGTGCGAGTAAGCTTGGATTTCCTATTCTGAAAACTTCTTTTGGCTATTTCCCTCATAGAATGAGTTAACGAGAGTTGAGGGTTAAGTCTGGTAGCGTTATATTCCTGACAGAAATCCCTGTGCGAGTTCAAAGCATCTTGCATGGCTACTGTAGTGGGACATGGCCCTACTCTTTCTTTAACAGCTTCAGAACAAAGCCCACAAACCCACTTTCCACAGTAACACTCTTCAACCTCTGTGATATAAACCGAAGTGCAATCCTCTTTCAACCCACAACACTGACATTCAGCTTGTTCCACCTCTTCGATCGCACCAAGTTGCTGCCTCTCCAACTTCAACTCGCTATAGTATTTCTCAATTTCACTCGACACGTCCGACACAGCCTTTCGAAGCTTTTGCTCATTCTGCTCCTGTGTGGAAAACACACGTAAGTAAATGTCCGGTTTAACGTTTGAAAGTTCAGACATGAAAGATAGAAAGAAGGAGAAAAAGTAATTATAAAGACAAGACCATGTAGGAAATTAACTAGCCTTCTCTTAATCTGCCTCGGTTGATGCCTTCATAGCAAAGGGTGCATGTGGTTATTTATACCTAAGATATGTGGGTGAGAGTAAGATTAAAAAAAAAAAGTTAAGTTAGATAAGATTTCCAAGTAACGATGCATTTGATTGAGAATTGACAACTCGAATGCCTTTACAGACCAACTGTATTTGTACATGTAAAGTCCGCTATCAATACTTATTAATTGGTCCACTAGCTCTGCAACAAGCTTAAGTTTTAGCAAAGATGTAATAAAGAAATGTTACATCTACATGTTGAGCAATAAATCTAATACTTACAGATAGCTAGCTAGGTACCTATTCCCTGTTTGCCAAGACATTTGGAACTAGCTCTCATCTTATATGTCTCTCTGGCTTTAACTCGTGAAGCTTCAGAAATTTTTCATGCACACATTGCAAGTTGTTGGTACCATACCATACCCAACTTTACACATACGTGAACACCTCTCTATCGCTCAAATTTAAATAAAGAACCATTCCAATTAAGGACATTGAAAAACCGCTCTATCAGTTCCATATGTTGTCATAAAAACAAAACAGCCGCACACAGCATTACAGCACCAGACTTTTGTAGTTTAACAAATGCCCATACCAGAGGCTTCTGAGTAAGATATTCATATTACGTTTGTCATGTTATGCCTGTAAATCTACTAATAGATTTACCACAAATTTCTTATATAATAATTTTAATCAGTATTTGGTCGTAGAACTTAATTCTAAGTGAGAAAGTCACACTACTGAGATTGAAATTTATGATACAACTTTTAAAAAGATAAAATTATGAAAAAATTTCACACTTTAAAGTGAGCAATATCTCAAGTATTTGAACATTGGAGCATAATATATAACAAAATAAGGGGTTTTATAACTACCAGAATGCAAATGGATTTTCAATATATGGCTGGTAAAACTTAGAATGTGACTCAGGTGATAAAATTATAACTAATATAAACTAACATTAGTTATGAACATAATCAATGTAGAAATTATCACATGTTTTATTTTGGTTCTGATAAAAAGAAATGTAAAATCATATCAATTTTTAAATTATTTCAAAGTACTTTACGTTAAATTTGATTTTTTTTTTATCAACAATAATAAATATAATTAAAAAAGTTCTCTCAATCCATTAAGTTTAACATTTATGATTCTCCCAAAAAAAAAATAGCAAGACAAAATATGGGGATCCTTTTCTGTATGCATATGGACCACTGGATCAATTATGTGGTCTTCAAACGCACAATTTCATTTCTTTACATAGTTTTTGTTATGTGGTCTTCAAAGTAGGTTGATTGGATTGTTAACGTGTAACAAAGTTCTCAATCATATAGAGAGGAAAGTTTACTTGAATTCTCTGATGTCCAAATCAATAAAAATTTTTGAACAAGTATATGTGAATAAAAACAATTATCAGATGAGATATAATTCCTCTTATAACATGTATTTTGCCCTTTAGCCATCTTAGGCATACCAATAACAAGTTAGAATGTTATTATTATATATTAATAGATTCTATTTATATCATAAACAATATTATAAATTTCATAATTATTATTTTTCCTTTATTTTAGAAAGATTAATATATCATAATTCTCGCACTTAGATCTTATATTTATTTTTTAGATCTTTGTCCATAATAATAATATTGTAAATATAGATAAGTAGATACAATTTTCATATTCAACTACATATCATGACACATGGAATTGTCTGTTATGGTACCTTTAAACGTGACATACTAATATATTACTAAAGTGTATTGTGTTGTATGGATCATATGTTAAACTTGATTAAACATTACAATATTAAAAGATTAAAATAAAATATATAATATCTCCAAATTGTTTAATATAAAATTCATACTCAATTAGAAAATTATGTCACTTTCAATTACTAAAGGTTATAGATTTTCAAAAGAAAATTCTTCAAAGTCTACTTTTGAAATTTGCTTGCATATAATAAAATAAGGTAAGACAATTTAGAATAGAAATCAATTATAACGAATACACCATTCTGATTAAACAAATAAAATTATTAAAACCAATTATTCAAATAACACAATAGTACACAATGTAATTATATTTTAAGGTAGATTATTAACACTATATAGCTATTTTTTTAATTAAGTAGTTACAGTGAAGGCATTGATGATGAAAATATTAATATTAGAATGTGATTTATTTTAAATCATGTCATTATATTTAGACTAGCATATTAAGATTGTTTGAGAGATTACAATTTTATTGGGACTTTAAGATCTGAGAATTATTTATTTGGCTACGTTTTAAGTGATATTTGTTCGTATTTATGTTAGTGCAGTGCTTATAATTTTGGAGTGTAAATTTTTTTGAGTTTTTGTTTTTAAATAGTAATTTTTATAATTTAATTTAGAAGTACATGAAATACATTTGAAAAAATATATAAATGTTAATAGAGAATCACAAGTTAAAAATTATACATGAAAAACCAGAAAGTAAAAGAGGTTGTAATGGACATAATTTTATAATTTTTTACTAGTTGATAGTTATTACTAGGAAGGCAAACCAACTGGGATGAATTTCATTATTCCATAGGTATTTATAAGATAAAGATTCATCTTTATATCTATCTCTTAAAAAAAATATTCAAATTTAAAAATATTTTAAATATTTATTTATTTATTTCTTTTTTTATATACCGATATATATTATATTAAACGAAATTATAAAAAAGAATATTAAATTAATAATAATTTAAATTTAAACATAATTTTTTATTTTTTTAACTTTAATTTATATTAGATTGTGTAAATAAAACTTATGAAAATAACATCAAATTATTAAAGTATAGTAAATGAAATCTTATTGTGATAGTAAAATTACGCTAATGAGATAGAATTAAAAAAATAAAAATTATTATATAAACACTAGTAGAATACCAACTCATATTAAAAATTAATCCAAACACTAGTAGAAATTCTTTAAACTTTTGCTAATATATATATCTTTCAACTATCCACACCAATCTATTACGATCAGAGACATAAAATTTGTCAAAGCTTGGATCAACCCCCTTATATGATCGTTGTTTTCTTTTCAAGTAATATATATGCTTCAAATATAAAATCAGGAAATATATAAAAAAATCTTTATAAGTTTAATACAAAATGCCTTGTGGCCTAAGACATGTGAACTGAAATTGGAACAATACTTAGTTCTTTTGTTAAACAAAAAACTATCATAAAATTCCGTCATAGGGACATCGTATTAATCATAAAACAAAGTAATTTCACCTAATAATATTTTACTGGTTTCTTTATATTTCTGAATCAGATCACATATACATATATATAAATAAATAAATATATATATATATATATATATATATAAGAAAAAAAATCTACAAAACTAAAATGATCTTATATATAAAAATAAAATAAAATCTCACTTTATTTTTTTTATTATACGCTTTTATAGACAACATAAATAAATTCACACTTAATTTTTTATGACATATATATATTGAACTTAATGCGAGAGTAATCAATAGCAATCACTATTTGGATTTATAATTCGTTATGACATAATATAATAATTTGTAATTGAATCACATAACTATTTTGCTTTAAAAAAATAATTTCAGAAATATGCTTCTTTTTATAATTATTAAAAGTTTATTTTATACACACTAGTATCACTTTAAAGCATCTCAACCTGCTAATGAAATTTAACAATAATAACGCTTATATATCTTGTAAATGAATAGAATAATAATAAATCTTATTAAATATGAAATATTTACAAAAATATTAAAAACTGAGTGTATATATATGTATATAAATTAAAAAATATTATTTAAATCAATTGAGTTACTTAACATCATCACATCTTATTGTGTATATAAGGAAGATATTTAAAAAGGGTTAAGTTTAATTAAATTAATTTTTGTGTAAAAATATTTTTAATAATGACACACAAATACTTTTCATTAACACTATGATATTTTGAACCATTATTACACCATATAATGTATCGATTTTGTAATATCTTTATCTTTTATTTTATCTGCCCTCGTGAATATTAGTTTTTCGGAAGATTTTTTTTAGCAAATCTTACTTAAAACATTTACAACAAAGAAAATCAATTTACAAGTGTATTTATTTTATCCAGTTAATAGTTATATTAAAGACTATCGTCCAACCATATTTATTAAATTTTTTTATTATGAAATAACACAAACTTAAATCTATTTAAACAATATCCACGAGATCCAGTTTATTATTATAATTATTATTTATTATATTATTATTAAACAAATATAAAATAAGTATTATTCCAATAAACACATGAATCATAATTCATATTAATTTTATAAATACAACTAATATATTTTAAAGATCTATATACCTTATAATCACTCGTACAGACATTATATTCAATAAGATCTTACAACTGATCAGCATTTATAAAACAATTATGATCTTACAATACTCTCTCCCTCGGAGAATTAGATGAAATGATCCATGAAACCTTTTTCATACATAGATAAAAGAGCAACGCTATTTTTATATCACAATTTTTTTTATTACCATTTGACACTATTATTCACTACTATCTACTCTCTTCTTCTTTTTCTTTCAGAGATATAAAATTAATTTTTGTTAAGACCATCCTACTTCTTTAAAAATTGTTAAATGGTGTTCAATATATACTTTTTTTTTCGAGATAAAATTAAACTTCATTGTCAATACATAATAATAAATTGAACCATAATATTTTAACAATTTTTTTAACAATTTTTTAACAACAAATTATATGTCAGTATTTTATTGACTTTTATATTTAAAACGGATGAATCATAAACTACACATCATAGATTACTGTAAAATAGTTGTAAAAAAAAATTATTAGAAAAACATGTTTCTAATGAATTACCTTGACTGTTGCATATATTAACAGTGAAGATATGATGTTTAGAGCAGAAAATCTGAAACCAACACAATGCTTACTGAA